ACTCCTTCCTCAAAATTCAAAATGGTTCACATGATGTTCATCATTGCTTTCATATGCTGATTAAATATAGCTTGTAATGGTTAAAGTCTGGGTTTGTACAGAGGAAGATGCTTCTATATTGGTTTCCTGTGATACCCCTGGTCAAGTGCTTAGTGCCAGGCCTTGGCTACAGGTGTTATGCAGCTGCTGAGCTCAGAGGCAGGCAGTTGCAGTGCTTAGCTAATTCTCATAAGAAGTGCCGCTCATGTGAGCATGCCAGTGGCACTCTGCCTTTGTTTTGGTTTGTTTGCTTTAATTCCCTGGCTATATTTAGCTGCAGAATTCCCCAGCTGCGGCGGAAGGCAGGTGTTTGCGGGCCCCCCAGGGCCCAGCCAAGGCCTCTGACATCATGTCCTGAACTCGTCAGGCCTGCGGCACCTCCCGTGGCCCACTCAGGAACAATGGCGTGTGAGAGGCAGGTGGGGCAGCCTGGGGTCCTGAGAGGGCTGCCTGTCTCGCTGCCTGCCACTGTGGTCTCTCGCTGCTCCTGTCGAGCGCAGATCAAAGGGCCGCTGTGTTGTGGTGTGGTCTTGCCAATTGCCCCTCAGCAGCCTCAGCGCTAATCGACTCCAGCAGCGAGCTGACGGGCGAAAATCCCGAGCCCTGCCGCTTTCTTTCTCTCCTCCCTCCCACCGCCCTCAAACCACTAACTGCGTTTACACCTCTGTCACGGAATTCGGCAGGGATGCGAGACATGCGAGGTATGAAAGGATCAGGGAGGTAATTACCCAGTAATTTCACATATAAATGCTTCTTTTGGGGCTAAAAGGCACTCCGAAAAGAGATCAGGCAATTCTTGACAGTTGATCTGTCATGCATTTAACACCTTAAGCTGTGGCTGAGTCCCACCCACGAACAATATAAGAGCTTTGTTCATTGTCTTAGTCACTTAATTCCCTTTTATTGTACTTTGTCTTTCAAAACCTCTGATTGTTATCCAAATCTTTTTTTTAATGTTCCTTAAGGGAGTTTTTTTGCTTACAAGTTCGTTAGATACACCTGCCCTGTACCTAAATGCATGTTTTCAGGTACACGTATCATATAGGTGCACTTTGTAGGTAGTAACTCAACTGTAACTATTGCTGCACTTGATCTGCATGTACCAACACCACACACCACCATGTTAGCCCTGTTCTGAAAATAAACCACTACCCAAATGATATCTACTCGGTGGTCCTATGGTGGTTCCTTTGCACTGATGGATCTGTATGGTAGGCGGACCTGTTGTATGAACAGCATGATTCAGATCTTACCATTCGTCCAGCTTCATTGTTGTGCCGGTTCATGGCGGAACGGGCGTCTGGCCGGTTTTCTCTGGCATCTGCAAACTCTCGGGATACGAGCACCCCGAATTCGGCATCCTCGCTACAGCCACCCCACTTCCAGCCCTCACCTGGTGGCCCTTTGTGGTGGGAATCACAGCCGCACATGGTGGAGGTTCCTTCTGCGCAGGACCGTGTCACTGCAAATGCCACACCAGCAGAGGCAATTGCATGGACAAACGCAGACTCTCTAGTGGCTAGGGAAAGAGAAAGACAGAGAGAAACAAGGGAAAGAGAGAACACTGCATAAGCGAGGATACTTTTAAGACTCTTTGAAAAGCAGATGCCAATGTGCGATGATTGGTGCTAGCTTTTAAAGTGATCCAAAAGACAGTGCTGTATCCTGAGGGTCCTGAATTTCCATCTGCAATCCTACTGAAAGTCTCACATCAGACAGTGTCTTAAGGGCACGGATCATTTTCTGTGATGTGCTCCGAAATATCAATGCACTATAAGGACAGGCACATCTTTGACATGACAGTCTCAATTGTTGCACATGTCGTTTGTGCCTAATGCTACCTTGGGTTTCAGTGACACTGTGTCATCTTAAAGGTGCTCCAGCTTTCCAGATCAAGCCCCTGAGGCCACGTGGGTGAAATCCAGCAATGGGTCTACGTGTTTGCTCTGCAAAGGCATGTGCTGAGAGATGGATTTACTCCTCCTTTGAATGCAACAGATTATTAGGTAACCGGACACCATTGTTTCACAATCGCAGCACACTTACTGTGGCTCTCCCACTTTTAATCTGGACTCTGTCCCTAAGGGGCCACTGAACCTACCACACAGGTCTTTTCAACAGTCAAATGAACGGTCCCGGCTACTGCCTGATTGCTCTTATGACCACCTTTCCCACCCATCACACCACTCATTCCTATACGTCCCACATGTACAGACACATGCATACATGTCCTGAGAACATGTAAAGTTTCTAACACTATGAGATCTCTGGCTTGTCATGTTGTAGACAGACTTAAATGTGGTTTAGCCATAAGGACACTTTGAGCCACACACAAGACATGTTTCTGCAGACATCTTTTCAGAACCTCTTTAGGCACTCAGGAATTTTATCTGTTTCCACCACAGGAACATTTCCAAAAACCAGGTGCTTTTTAAGGAATTCAGGGATTTTACCACCACAGGAACCTTTTCAGAAATGCAGAAACTGTTGCAGGTACTCAGAAATGTTAGTCATGTTTCCACCACAGGAACCTTTTCAGAAACCCAAGAACTTTTTAAGATACTTAGAAACTTTACATGTTTTCATCACCTGAATATTTTCAGAACCTTTTTTTAGGAATTCAGGAATTTTACTCATGTTTCCATCACAGGAACATTTCCAAAAATCCAGGACCCTTTTAAGGTACTCAGGAATTTTACCCCTGTTTTCACTACAGGAACCTTACTAGAAACCCAGAAACTTTTTAGGAGTTCAGGAATTTTACTCATGTTTCCAATACAGGAACCTTTTTAGAAATCCAGGAACCTGTTGAGGAATTCAGGAATTCTCATGTTTCCACCGCAGGAATATTTTCAGAAACCCAGGAAATTCTTTACAAACTCAGGAACTTTATCCACATTTCCACCTGAAGAACCTTGTTAACCTCTTACAGTTTCCACTGGAAGCACCAGGGCCAATTTTAGTACCTGGGTCATAGTTCCTGTAACATTTTTTCTGGTTGTTGTCTGGTACACTTTAGTTTGGATTAAACAGGTGTGCACACGTGTTTTGTATGTTTCTAGTACTATACTGCTTATGCTAACTGCACTCAAAAGGCTACAATACTGTTAACAACATATTCACACAAAACAAAGCAAAAACATAAAGAACAACTGAACTTCTAACACCAGATTAGATACCGCATATCAAATACCACATCAGTTTATTGTTTACTACACCATCTCTTTCACATTTCACTTTCGCATTCTTTGATGACTACTTGCATTATTGCATAAGACAGTTGCGGGAACTACAGTGTTACGTAAGAGACAAAAGGTGAGGGACGTGATCTCTTATTGGCTAGACAGGAAGCATGAATCATCAGAATCAGGTGACATTCCCATGATGCCATCCATTATGCAGTCACGCAAGGGCTCAGGTCCTATTCTATTCAGCTATCACAGATGATTCATTTCAAGAAAATTATATTGCAAAACTATTCATTTTTTAACAGGGTATAGCTCAAACTAAGTTCTAATTTTCAGCAAGGTTGCGTGTTTGCGGTTCCATTAGTTTCCTAGTAGATTTGCTGAATATGCACATATTTTGTTTTATGTTCTATTGTTCTGAAAAGCGTAAACACACACTGCTCATTTCTCCTGATGCTTGTGTGTTTGGGCATACACCTCTGAGGGTGGGAGGCCCGATTGAGGCCAAGTCGGTTCTGGCAGGCCCAGCTGGGTCGACTACAACAGAGCGCTGTGAGCCGATGGCCCCAGGAGCTGTGGCCCCGAGCCAAACGCAGAGCTGCTCCCGCTACCTGCTGAGCCCATGAATCCGCCTTTGTCTCCGTGGTGTCACACTGTATTACCCACACAAAAGGACCCAGCAACCAGCACCCCCACAGCCCGGCTTAGCTCTGCCCAGAGCTGGCCTGGCATTCCCAACAGGAGCAACCCCCACCTCCCCTTCCACCTCTACAGCCACATACACATACCAACCACCTTTTCCTTCTCGCCCTTTTAATTCCTTTTCCTTCTTGTCCTGCTTCTTAAATCAACCTCTCAAATTAACAAACAGCCATCCCTAATGTTCTCAAACACCACTACCTTCTTAGTATCCTCCCTGTCTTCAGGCCTCATTGACCTCTCCCCCAGGCCTCCCTCTGCCCATCATGCACCCCTCCCTACCTCGCTCCCTCCGTGATGGGGAAGGATGGGAGATTCCCTTTCAGGCCGTTTTCATGACACAGTCAAAAGGGCGTGTGAATGGGCCGTTCGTGGGAGCCGGGCTGTAAGAGGCACACTGAGATGGCCCATACCGGCCTTCACGCACAGTAGGGGTTGAGCGGAACCCCCCAGCCCTTTTCTATTGCTTGTAATCTCATTTGGCCTCCCCTCTCTTTTTCTCTCATTCACTCGCGCACTCGCTGACCGGCTCCCTCCTGACACATAAGCTAACACACTGCTCCTGATCAGAGGGCTGCACCTCTTCAACCTCCAGGACAGGCCACCTCGGCTCGGGGCTTGCTCGCTATCTCTCAGCACGGTGCACGCTGTTCCAGGTTCCCTGTTGGTTTCTCCTTTTTGTCTTTTGTTTAAAAAATTAACAAATGCTTTTCATCCTTTTTGCAATGTGATTTTTGTGGAACACTGACAGATATCTGTAGAACCTAAATGATTTCTGTAAGTAAAGCTAGATCTAAATCTAGGAAAAGTCCAAAATCAAATCTAAATCAAATCAAGAAAGCTGTAGGTTTACATGCTTGTTTCCAAAAATAGATATTAATTTGAATTTTCAGATGTGAACAGTTGCTATGTGGTTGCTATATTCTGTCCAAAGCTGTCAGGTTGTACCTTATTTGAATTGTCCAGAAAAAAATAAACCAAAGTTAAATGTATAGAAGTGTTTGCGTTACATTTGGCTAACGTTTTTGTACAAAGCAGCTTACAGCCTTGTTCAAGGACCCAACAATGGTAGCGTGGCAGTGCTGGGATTTGAACTCTCAACCTTTTGATTGGTAGCCCCAAGCCTTAGCCACTAAGCCACCACTTCCACAGGTGTAGAAAAGTTTTTGCCAAGCAAATGCTGGAAGCCCAAACCTGGCTGCACAATATTTGGGATACCATGTAAAGTTGGGTACATTTTTTTTTTTCCCCGAACAATTTTTTTTCACACAGCCTAATGATCCTAGAGCCTTTACCTTTGTCCAGCACAGGGCCAAAGATGGCTAGGTTGTCCTTTATGGTGGTGCAGTTCCATCTGCGACCGCGGAACTGGTGCTGGCACTCCTGGATGCCCAGTTTGACCCCTTCGGCAACACTGGGCATGATCTCGATGTAGTTGCGGCAGAAGCGCAGCTGCTTGGGCACTAGACCAGGAATGGAGCCGCACAGGATGGGCTGGGAGCCCAGAGACGAGTACTGCTGCCCCAGAGCTAGGGACCTGAGAAAAGTACAGGGAAAAAACATTTATCACAATCAAGCTGAAACCTTTCTGGGGTGGAACTGGTGATGCATCCAGCAGATGGGCAAAGAGAATTGCTTTAAGGGATAGCATGGAGTATAACAAGCTGTACTAACACGCCCTGTTTAAATATGGCCTGATTGATTTAGATAAACAGGTTTTATAAGCTTTGCTTTTGTAATCTTTTGTAATCTTTAATCTAATGGATATAAAAGACTACAATAAGGTTTAGATTGCAATAAATAAATAAATAACAAAGCCCATAGAGGACCCTGTAGCTGTGTTATGCACATCATTGTCTTGTATGTTGATATTAGTTCACTGGTTCATCCACAGACATCTGTTTGAAGTCGTCTCACTAAAGTGCTTTTATTCTAATCTTTTTTTTCCTGCGAGCTCATATTAATTGGCGCATCATCACTGAAGTAAGCTTTGATACCTGAGAACTGAGTCAGCCGTTTGGCTCCCACCCATCTTGATTTGACTACGTGTGTTGCAGTTTTGCAGTAGCTGACAGAAGATTTGTAGTGCAATGTTCATCTAAGCCGTGGGCATCTGCCTAAACACGGCCTCGGTACCACTGCACCGAAACAGGCATTCCAGAAACCAATTCATTTTAATTGCCTTCTTTTTCTGCCTGACATAAAGCTAAAAAAAAAAAAAAGATTGGAAAGAAAAACGTTGCCTGTGTTTTAACACGCTTGCTCTTATGACAGGCTCAAACACAACTGCACCCCTATTAACAGGTTTGTTGCCTTTGCCAATGAAACATGTCTGAGAAGTTTTTGACTTATTGTTTATTCCTGGTGGTGCGCTAAACAAGCACAGCCTCCATCTTTCCCTCATAAAGCCATCCACACACCTTTCAGAGGAAATCAGCCATGGATTCGTCGTCATAAATCCTATCTGTGCATCCATAGTGCCTGTTTTCTAAAATTAGAATCAATCTGAGGTCTGCATTAAATTATTTATTTTATTTGAAGTGAACTTCAGCTAGTTCACATCCTTACCAGGAAAAGAAAGTCTAAGCACATCACTACATCCTATTACATTACAAATTGATCACAAAGTCCTGCTGGTTATGTTTAAAGTTCTGAATGGGTTTGCTCCGATGCATCTTGCTGATATCCTGAAGCAGTATAACCCATCCTGAGCATGAAGATGTTTTTCTTATATTACTAAGCTCTGTAGTTCTGTATGTGTTTTAAATACAGATTAAATTTGCACTTGTTTAGCTTAACTTATTCATGGTTCTTGGGTCTTCATTTCATGATTCGGAGTGATTTTTGTAGCATTGTAATCATTTCTTAAGAAATGTAGGTGATTTATGAGAAATACTTATTTGTTTCATTAGTGTGCATTATCATAAATTATTTCGTTTTTTGGTCCTTTAGATATTGGACTAAAAATGATAAAGTTCTATATAGAGATGGCACGATACCAATTTTTCTTTTCCAATACCAATTCTGAAACCTTGAGTATCAGCCAATATCAATGCCCATCCTATATATTTTTCTTTAAAACCCAAGCTTTAGAATTTTTTTAAATTGAAGCACTTCAGTTACTCTTTCACACAAATATCACTTATTTTGTAAGTAGTACAATTTTAATACAGTCTATCCTAACCAAAGGAAAAACCTAAGTCTCTATATGTAAACATTTCCAGTTCCAAAAATACATTTCTTTTCCAAATCCATTTCCAATCTTTGCCATTTGATGATATCTGATACTTTTTTTCTCCGATATCCGATCCACCTTTTTTTTTTTGCTGGTATCAGCCCGATGCTGTTACTCAGTGTCGGATCGCTGCTGTCTCTATTTCTATATAAATAGAAATCCTAGAAGTGACAAAGTGTGTTATGGTTATTCTATACACACAGAGTACATCAAGGGTTCCTCAAGGCTTCATTGGTTAGTTTCCTAGAGACATTTTACTGAAAGGGAAATCTCTTCTTATAGTGTTTTACATAGAACCTTTAAAGGTTCTTCAGGGCCTATCTTTCTGTGATGTCTAAATGCAAGATCTTGTTGCTTCAGTGGTGAAATGATCTTCCTCCTACGCTCTGAACAGCCGTACCACATCCCTATTCCTTTTGCAACCTTCTAAAAACTTTGCTTCTCACACAGTACCTACAGTATTTTCTCTGCACATACGTCGCCTTCACTGCCTGTACTGTTACTATGGTTATTGCTATTATCTGTACTATTTTCCTGTTCCTGGGGTTTCAACAGTTTGCATGTCGGTCTGGATAAAAGCGTTTCCCGAATGGCTAAATGTAAACTGTCAGCAATTCCCCGAGAGGGACTAAACTAAAGAGCCCTTTAGGGTTCTAAACTTAACATTTTATTGTGTATTGCAGTGCATTCTGGGATTTCATGAGCACGTTGGACAGTCTCCACTACACCTCCAGGCTACAAATTGGCAAATTATATAATTCTTGCTTGAAAGGGTGTGGTTTTGGACATGCTCTGTGAAATAAGGAATTATAGATTGCATGTAGTTACACTCTCAAAGTGTTCTTCAGTTTGTCCCTCTGGGGGAACCCATAAAAATTCCTTATAACAAAGGGTTTTCCTTCCATTTCCTTTCATGTAGAATGTGTTAGAAAACTAGAGCTATTAACCATCCAAAGAATCCTTCACTATACTGTACACATACAGACAGGTGACAAATTAAAGGAAAAACCAGTGGTGCTGTTATGCTGTGGGGACATATTTATTTATTTATTTATTTATTTATTTATTTATTTATTTTTAACTGGCGTGGTTTGGCTTCACTTGGAGGGATGTGTCACTGCAAATCAACCTTTTCTGATTGTTCACATTTCTATCCTGATGGGCGTGGTCTTATCCAATGGTTTGATGAGTCTCAGTGAATGGTTTGATGAGGATGAAAATGGTATAAATCACATGCTATGGCCTTCACACTTCTCAACCCAAATGAACACCACCGGTTTTAGTCCACGTGATTTCAGCAGTCTTTTAAGATTATTACTTGTCACACTGCACGAGATCCCAATAAAATCTGTGTGATAACGTGTTTCTCCATGTCACATATGCAATGAAGAGCCTCTTACGATAGACCTGCGATTACAGAAAATGACTAAGTTCTGCTTACATAGAAAATGTAATAACTTTCAGAAAATAGGCTCGTGTGAACACAATCATTCTTCAAAGTAATCTTGAGGTAACAAGGATATTTTTTCTGTAGAAAATATTTTTTCTGTTTTCATTAGAATGTTTCGTTTAAGTTTCACCATCACCTGTGAGTTTTGCATCATCCAATGCCGTCCTCCTATTGGTGGATTTCAGATGAGCATCATAACACTTGAGATTTTAATCAAAAATGTTTCACACTGCCAGAATCTTGGTGTCGTCCGTCTTTTGGTCCGAGTGGCACTGAATCGGCTCACCAGATCTTCGTATTACATGTTCTAAGACCGCCAATCTCAACCAAAGAATTCTTTAAAAACCGTATGTAAAGCTGCCATAAGTGTTCATCCAGTACAGTTCCAGATCTGTTCCTGAGGCTCATGGTGGCCAAACACCTTACTAACACTTCAGAATATGTTTCAAATAAATGACTATAAAATAGCAGAAAAAAGTAAATCAGATTAATATTTGGCATGATTCTTTGCCTTTAAAACTGTATCAGTTCTCTCAGGACACTGCAAGTCGGTTGGTAAGTTTATCCAAATATTTTGGTAATGTCACATAGGTAATGTTTTTATCCTGAAAAAGTCATCTATTGCTTAATATCCTTCTTTCTTCGATGACGATTTGTTTTCTGGAGCACAAATGTTTGGACATCACTTTCCACTGACACACTAATCCAGGAGATATGGCTACGCTACTCCAGTATCAGTGCACTGACGGACTCTCGGCGTGTCCCAGTGTCCCCGGCGGCCGTGTGGAGAATCAGGAGTAAACAAACTCACTGATCAGAGCGTGCTCGCTCGCTCGCTCGCTCACTCACTCAGCATGACCTCATGGCCCTGCAGGGTGCAACCCTATCACCAGCTCTGACATCGCCGCCTCGCTCGGCCCACACAAAGGCCCTGAAATTGAAGTCAGAGCTCAAAAATCCTCCTCGGAGGCATTCTGATTTTTCTACCTCCCCACCACCACCACCCTCTCATCTCTCACCTCTCACTCCATCCATGAACATGTGTGTTTGATGTCACATGAATTTCAGTGTGTCTCAGCCACAAACTTTCGCTAAGGGAGCCTTTGATAGGTGAGACGTACGTCAGCTGCTCAAGTCTCCACCTCAACACCTCCTACAGCGGGTCAATATAATTGTATAGGTGATCTCTCTCTCTGTCTCTCTGTCGGTATGTGTGCAGGAGAAAATTGACTAATTAAGTCTTATGTTTTTAACAATACATCAATATGACGAACCCCTGTTTTAACTGTCTGGCTTCGTTAGATGCCAGTTTTATTGGTAATCCGTAATTATTTTCCTCGAACTATGACTTAAGCCCATATATCTGCCAGATCAGCTCCTGAAGTAGTGTTTACTGGAAGCCGAGCTCCTTCCCCTCCATGTTTGCCGAGCGAGTGAGTAAGAGACATAATTACACCGTCTGC